AATTAACCCGAGAGGAGGGAATGCATTCAGAGTTTCTCATAGGTGGAAGTCAAATTTAAAAAACTATCAAGGGAAGCAGTAAGTTGGCATTGAAGTCTGTGGTTGATGTTTGGGAGAGGGGTGTAGGCAGTTTGTTTTCCAGTCTAACTGTTGAAAGTAGAATGGTCAGTGCAGCATTTGCTAATGTTTTCTGTTCAGCTAAACTCATAAAAGGATCCTCTGTCCTATTGGTAGTTGCTGAGCATGGCTATTTCATCTCCCTAAATTTTTGCCAGCACCTCACCCCAATTAGCAGCTCTAAATGGTATATTTATTCCTAATTCCTGCTCCTAAATTTCCCCATCTATGCAGACTAAGACAGATATAAATAGTTTGTTATATCTCCCATACAGTGATGTTGCAATGTATTTCAAGAGTCATAAAGGCTTCATACACTTTTATTCAATAACTGAATTAATAAGCATCCTTTTCATCCATCAGACCTTCCTACAGGTCCTTACAGCAAACACTGACTTCATTCTGGTTGCAGTGTCAAAGTGACACTTAGCTTGAATTTAGCCTATTTTTGAAATAGTTTTCTAAATTTTCTTTTAAATTCACATCAGTTTGGTTCAACATAGTAATAGACAAGAAAACCAATCGGTAGTCCTATCCAAATAACAACAACAAAAACAACAACAAATGCAGGTTTCATAGATTGCCACCAATAGATCTTACCATGTTAGTATCATCTTGGCAGTATCACCCGTGGGAAATAAGGAGGCCAATTCTGCTTTGGGTGACTGATTCAATGTGTTAAAGGTATGAAGTTAAAATCCACTTACAGAATAACATGTTGGCGTTCTTTGCTTATGGCAGCTTCTTGAGAAGGAATAATGATGCAGGTATTTTGTTTGGAAGCCTAGTCAGTTCCACAAACACTATTTATCCATCATCGCACACAGACTTTCTAAGGCAAACGGTTCTAAATATACTAATGTCACAAGAATCATCTAAGGGGAACTCATTCTGCCAGAGTTAGATGAGACTTTAGAGACTATCTCTGCAGAATCTCAGGGATCATAAGATAACGTGCCCATAGCCACCACATAAGGTCACTGAATGAAGCTGTTCATATGTAAAACACTTCCCTTACACACACACACACACACACACACACACACACACACACGCAGCTCCTTAGTGCACTCCCAAGCCATAGTTTAAAGAAATATCTAGCTATTTTCTTTCTCGATTTGGAAATACACGGGTTTGAGAAATATTTTGTCTTTCTTTTAATTATGCCATAAAAAAACAATATAACCTAAATTTCAGCGAGACAAGGGACAATAGTGGTGAATATGGTAAAACAAAATAAATGCTCCATCAAAGAGGGTCAGGCTGCTTCTCAGCTCTAGCTGACCTATGTGATATAGCAAGAGGCTTGTGCAGAAATCCATGTGCAGGATTTCTTTGAAAACAACAACAACAACAACAACAAAGCCAGGAATCTGGTCTTCTATGTGAAGTCTCGTACTTTTCAGTGCTGGCAATTACTTCAAAAGGTTTGAAAAGGGCTGCGGTTGTGGCTCAGTGGTAGGGTACTTGCCTCAATGTGTGAGACACTGGGTTCGATTCTCAGCACCACATATAAATAAGTAAATAAAAATAAAAGTGTATCAACAACTAAAAAAGTATTTTTTTAATTTTATTTTTTAGTTTTCGGTGCACAAAACATCTTTATTTTATTTATGTGGTGCTGAGGATCGAACCCAACGACCTGAGCATGCTAGGTGAGAGCGCTACCGCTTCAGCCACATCCCCAGCCCTAAAAAAGTATTTTTTAAAAAGGTGTGAAAAAAATTCATAGGTAAAAAATACATGTCTTTGGCCACATACAGATTACTTAGCCTGGATTAACCCAAGACCCTATCTTGGGTATGACAGACAAAATCAGGTTTACCAAGTGTCCTGATTTTTGCTAGGAGATTACAACTCAATTTTCTTGGTAATTACAACTGGAAAATTCTAGTATCCCCCTAGAGAATTTTCTATATTTAATTATCTTATGAAGAGTTAAGTATTTTTTACTGGCAGATTTAAAGGCACGTGGCTTCTACCCTTAATATAAAATGTAACATATAAGCACTTCCCATATAGCACATCCTACTTCACATTTAAGACCTCATCAACAAGAAGTATATATATTTCCCTCATCCATAAAGTTTGAAAGGAGAATTTTAGGGGCTCATGGTGTAGCTCAGTGTAGAGTTCATGCTTTCATGCAGGAGGCCCTAGGTTCAATCCTCAGTGTAATTTTTTTTAAATTCAAAACAAAAACATGAAACTTCTGTGTAGGTTTAAGTGTGCCATCTCTGCCTTAATATTTTGAAATTTCAAATCTTTTTGAAATAGTACAATTACCACAAATAAAAAATAATACAATTACCACAAGTACTGGGAATCATTCTATAGTTTTACTTGCTATGTTGTACTTTTCTATTTTTAATGAATTTTCAAGAATCAATCATAAAGTAAACAAATCTAATATTATTGCAGTTTAATCAGCTTGAATAGCAACTAAAATAGCAGATGTTAACACTTGAATTTCTTCCACAATCTGTTGAGAGTCAAAACTTCTGTCAAGTAGCTTCACATTCCACACTCCTTACATCTTGCTTGGAAAGGTAGCACAGTACTTGTGTGCCTTTTTTTTTTGATACTGCTGGGGACCGAACCCAGGGCCTTGTGCATTTATGGCAACCACTCTACCAACTGAGCTATTTCCCCAGTCCCCTAAAAACACTTTAAAAGCATTTTTTTTTTTTTGGTACATGGTATGGAATGAAGGGCATTTACCACTGGTTCACATTTCCAGCCCTTTGTTATTCATTTATTTTACTTTGAGGCAGGATCTCATTTAAGTTGGTGAGGTTGGCCTTGAACTTGGATCCTACTGCCTCAGTGTCCCCAATCTCTGGGATCACAGGAATGAGCCACTGTGCCCTGCTAAAGAAATGTTTTTTGTTAAATCCAGGATAAGGCTGGGGTGCAGGTCAGTGGTAGAGGGCTTACCTAGTATGCACCAGGTCCTGGATTGGACCTCAGAAATGCAAATAAAAAACCAGGAAAAACAAAAATAGAGAACCAAATGCAAATAAAATGTGAACATTTAATATATTTCAGGTCAAAGTACTTTGAAGACATCCTCAGATTTATCACTCCATGTTTTAGGAAGCAAAGAAGCAGCAGGTATGCATTGATTCTGATTTTGTGGAAGGTGAAATTATAATTATGGGAAGGTTAGGGTACTTTCATAAGGTGGGGGAGGGAATCCAAAGTGTATGGGTTTTTTTAATATTTTATTTTTTAGTTATAGTTGGGCACAATACCTTTATTTATTTATTTCCATGTGGTGCTGAGGATCAAACCCAGGGCCTCCCACGTGTTAGGTGAGCATTCTACCACTGAGTCACTACCCCAGCCCGCCCCCAAAGTGGATGTGTAATGCTTCAGTTTATATGGTTCATCAGATAATTTTTTCAATATTCTCAATGAAGGATGAATCACATAGAAGTGAAAAACAGAAAAGGAACACTATGAATCAGTTCATTATGGAAAAAATCTATAACAATTCTTCCTCACTTTACTGGTACCCAAGTGCAACTGCACATTGGAATGTCATTTTGTTCAAAGCTTGAAATGCTGTACTGTTGCCAGGCACAGTGGTCATGCCCGTAATCCCAGGGGCTTGGAGGCTGAGGATCAGAAGTTCAAAGCCTTGGATTCAATCCTCGGTTGAAAAAAAGCTATACTGAGCTGGAGTTATGGCTCAGTGGTCGAGCGCTTGCCTAGCATGTGTGAGGCAAGGGTTTGATTCTCAGCACCACATATAAAGAACTAAAATAAAAGTCCATTGGCAACTAAAAAAATTTTTTTTAAAAGCTATACTATTGGGCTGGAATTGTGACTCAGCACGTGTGAGACCCTGGGTTTGATCCTCAGCACCACATAAAAATAAAGATATTATATCCAATTACAACTAAAAGATAAATATAAAAAATTTCAAAAAAATAAAAGCTATCCTGTTCATCATTTTGGCTGCCTTCCATTAAATAGAACCCCTGGTACAGTATTATAGATTGTGGGTGGAAAAGGGAGCCTAGTACAGGAAAAAGAGAAATAACACACACACACACACACACACACACACACACACACACACAAGCCTGGAGAGTAGCAGGGCACAGTGGCACACACTTGAAATCCCAGTGGCTCTGGAGGCTGAAGCAGAAGGATGGTGAGTTCAAACCCAGCCTCAGTAAATGCAAGGTGCTAAGCACCTCAGTGAGACCCTTTCTCTAAATAAAATACAAAATATGGCTGGGGATGTGGCTCAGTGGTCAAGCACCTCTGAGTTCAATCCCCAGTACACAACAAACCAAATCAAACACATGCTCGCACACCTGGAGAGCTACTGGAGGTGGTTTCTCCTTGGCTCCTCTGGAGTTTGAGAACACGATCTGAGTTTCTTTGAACCCATGACCAGTGGAGGTCCCCTTCCTCCATTAGGTAGTGAGAACGATTTAGATCTTACCTGTGAAAAGCCAGTGTTCTTTATCTCCCAGCTCCACGTGGCCCCTTGTATTGCACTTGGCTTCAGGTCTGACTTTTGCTATCCAGACAGGGATTCGCAATTAAATTTCTGAATTTGGGGTCGGGATAGAAGGAACTGACAGGTAAGGGTTAACTGCTCTACCACTGGGGAACTCTGCAGCAGATAAGCCCTGTGGGCAGAGGCGAAAAGGAGCCCAGCTGGGAAAGGCTTGCTCACCTTGACCCGCAAGACTGAGGTCAAATGGCAGTTTATTGCCTGCCCTAGGCTGGCAAAACACAAGGTGAACTTCAGCCAGAGCGCGCTTTTCTCCTCACTGCCCTTTGTTCCACCAAAAGAACAGGAGGCTTGTGACCAGGGAAGGAGTAGGGGGTGGGGCTCAGGGGCAGAGGCGGGAAGAGAAAAATGTCGCTTCTTGGCTGCATCCTAAAAGCCCTTTGTCATAATAAAGCCCAGGTAGTCCCTCCTGCTGGGTGAAGCAGCAAGAAAATGTCAGCCTCCACTTGGAGGAAGTGGGGGTATTAAGTACTCTTGCCTTCCTTGGGCTGTGGGAAGCGGTGGCAAGCTGCCTCTAAATGTTGGCAAATGTTCACCTCAAAGCTTGACCCCTTCCTGCCCGGACAGTAATTACTGGATTTTCCAGCAGTATTTAACGAGAGCAGACGGATACTGTCCCTGGCCACGGAGAAGACTACAAAAGGTACGGAATGTGCTCTCAGTGCTGGTGAACTGGAACCACGTGCACAGAATTTACCTGCATTAACCACTCAGTTGCCTACGGGTGTTTGCAGTCCTCCACCCTCCTGCTGAGACCCAATTATTTTGCCTCCAACTCTCTGGCAGTCTCTCTAATCTTCTCCAAAGCCCAATTTAATAGCCTGGACTCTTGGTGGCCCACGTGGCTCTGGCAGTTGAGTGCAGGAGACAGAGTTCAAACCCAGTCTCAACAAGTGAGCGAGACACTGTCTCTAAATAAAATGTAATAATGGCTGGGGATGTCGTTCGCTTGTCAAGAGCTCCTGGGTTCAATCCCCAGTACCAAAAAGCCAGAATTAATTAAACAAATAGATAAATAAATGACCCCCCAAAAGAAAAAAACGGAACAAAGTCAACTGTTCCCTCCTCTTCCGCCTGCATTGCTGCGATTTCTTGATGAAAGGAACTTCCGGCCCCCATTTTAACTCTTGTTGAACCACAACATTATCCAATTCGCATCTTTCAGATGACGACAAAGCACTGCGTTTCTATTCAGTTCTTTGAACATGAACCACTTAAAATTTTTTTTTTAAATACCGTGGGCAACCTAAGCAGCACGTAAACTGTCCCTGCTTTTGAGAGTAGACCTAGAGGACCTCTAACTCCCCCTCCCCCACCTCAAAAACTCCCAATTTTCATTCTAGAGGTAATCCAGACCATTTCTGCCTTGTATCAGAACTTCAGAATTGCAAATATATCAAGGATTGGGAGTGGGCAATTCAAAACAGGTACACCAAGATGTGGGGATTATTTTTTAAATGAAGTAAAAATTAGTAGGAAGATCATGGTTCTGGTGTTTTGACCTTGGGTAAATCACTAATAACTCTCCATTTTAAGTCTCATTTTCCTGTTTTCAAATTGGAGACAATTTTGTCTGCTCTAGTATCTAGCAGATTTTTTTTTTTTTGTGAGAGAAATGGAAAAGCTATGAAAGTGTTAAAAGCCCTACAGAGAGGCTGGGTTGTGGCTCAGGGGTGCAGTGCTTCCCTAGCAGGTGTGAGGCCCTGGATTCCATCTTCAGCACCACATAAAGAAAAATAATTAAAATAAAGGTATAAAAAGCATATAGATATGTAAAGTATGAATAGATATGTAAAGTCTTGGTTATACTAGTATAAATCTATATAAGCCATTGATACAGAAGCATGTCTAGACTCAAGGACCTTTGGCACACTGCACATCTGGAATTCCTGCTCATTTCCAGGAAAACCCTACATTTAATTGGCCAACTTTTGACTTAATTTCTCATTACTTGTCTTCATTAACGCCTAGTGTTACCACATGCTGTGCTAGGGTGCCTTTCAGGGAGATAGAGGAAACCTAAAAACTTTTTCTTCCCTGATAGGATAAGATGGTTTGAAAAATATACATGTTTTTTTAAAAATGTTTGGTTTTTAGCTTTAGGCAGACACAATATCTTTATTTTTACATGGTACTGAGGATCAATCCAGTGCCTCAAGCATGCTCAGTGAGCACTCTACCACAGAGCCACAACCCCAGCCCCAAATACACATATGAACATTTAAAAACATATGAACATTTAAAAAGCTATACTATAGTTTTAAAAAATCGGTATGGTCATAATACAAAATATATTTGCAGAAATAGCACATATTACTTATAATTGATAATTTAGGGTTACAGTGAGTGAGACAGACAATACAAAAAAGGAAAGATCTCTTTCGTATGGATGGTCAGATAAGTCTACTTTACAAGCCTATATAGTTGGGAGAGCATTCCAAACATGAACACAGTGGTAGTCAGACTAGTGAACGTTTTATTCATAGTGAAGGGAATCTAGAATTGGGAAGCTATAGCTATCACAATTAAAAGGTTTCTGATGGCCTAAATAATAAACCAAAATCCACATAGCTCAGGGTTGTAATCTGACTCCATGTTATTCTGAGCAGCAAATTAACCTTTCTCCTTATTTACTTGTCTTAAGATGCACATATTGCAGATAGCCATCCAAAGGAATGAAAGACAATCCGCAGCTAAGGAAGGAGGTGTGAATATGCTGGAAGTTATTTCTGTTTACAAGGACTACCCTAGTTCATAGATGTATCAAAATTCCAGACCCTGGCAGATTACAGTCTACTAAGGACAGGTAAACTCCATATTTTAACTTGGTTACTGTCTTGAGTCCCCAAGCAGTTCTGGTTAGAGAAATCAATTTTCTTTCATGGAAGAAAATTGGGTAGCTTGAGATACCAGGTTTGATCAAGGGGAGAAAAATCTACTCCATAGAAGGGTAAAGTTGTTATTCTTAAATAACAGATGAACGTTTCACATTTATCATTGTTATAATTTGGATAAGGAATGTCCCAGAATTGTAATGCATTCCACTGGCATTTATTTTAAAAAAAAACATTAAAAAGATATAAAAAAAAGAAATGTCCCTGGTGCAGCAAGGTTCAGGGGTGAGGCATTTAGGCACTGATTAAATCATGATGGCTGTCACCTCATAAGTGGATTAATTTGTTAATGGATAAATAGACTTAAGTTCATATTGCTTAAGATATCACAGTTCAGGGTTGAAGATATAGTTCACTTGATAGAGTGCCTCCCTAGCATGCACAAGGCCCTGAGTTCAATCCCTGGCACCACCAAACAAACAAAAAAAGGATATCTCAGTTCATAAAGAGACAAGACAAGGATTTAAAAAAATCCTTACTCTTTAAAAAAAATCCTTACTCTTGAGTTAGGGCTGTAGCTCAGTGTCAGGGTACTTCCCTAGCACATATGAGGCACTGGGTTCAATCCCTATCACCACATAAAATAAAATAAAGTCATGCTGTCCATCTACAAGGATTAAAAAAAAATTTAAAAATGAAAAAAAATCTCAGTCCAGTGTTCTTTTCATTCCATTATGCCATTACCCAAAATCATGTAAAAATATCTAAAATTTAGTGAACTTTTGTTCTACCTTTCCATATTTTGTCTCAGTGAAAAATCATAAGAACACTAATAATTTCATACTATTGATATGTTTATATTAATGAGGAATGTGAGGATTAGAAAAGTAAAGTAACTTGTTCTAGATCAAAGAGCTACTAAATGGGCTGGAGTTGTGCCTCAGTGGTAAAGTACTTCCCGGGTATGTGTGAGGCCTTGGGTTTCATCCTCAGCTATAATATATATATATATATTATATATATATAATTATATATATATATAATTTTATTCCATTGACAAATATAAAATTTTTTTATATAAAAAGAGCTACTAAATTGCTTAATTCAGGTCTACCTAGCACCCGTGTACATAATCTTCATAACTATGCTGTACTGTCTAAAAGGAGCAAAGCATACTTGAAAGGATGTTCAGCCTTCCTAGAAGTTTGAACTATATTACTTATTAAATTCATTTTAAGTTTTCTTAAGTTAATAATAAAAAAGGAGCCCAACACTGCAGAGGCTGTCAAAAAGCAAGAATTTTTTTTTCAGTTTCTGATAGTGATAATATTAGAAAGTGTAAATTTTTATGGAGCACAATTTGGTACTATGCCTCAGGAGGCATTAAAGTTAATCTACCCTTTAACTTGGCAATCCTATTTCTGGGATATATTCCAAGTAAACATTTATGAATAAATTAAAAGGGATTTGTACAAAACCATAGATCGTTTTTTATTTTTCCATCGATCTTTTTATGGTGAAAAATGCAATTGTTCAAAAGCTCACGATGGATAACTGTTTAACTCCTATAATACAATGATGAAACTAGAATCTTTGAGGTTATTTTATTTAAATATAATTTCTTTGCTGCCCCACCTTCCGTTTCAGATGAAGCAATGGACTGCAAGTAAACTCTGCTATTAATTGGAATGAATACTCTCCAGTCATCAAACATGATAAACACCATGAAATATATAAGAAAACGTGTGAAGAAAATATTATAGCCACAGCTCCTATGAAAATATAATGAAAAGAGAAAGAACAAAAGACAGCCTGTGGGCTGGGAATACAACCCAGTTGGTAGAGAGCTTGCTTCCTATGCACAAGGCCCTGGTTCAATCCACAGAACCATGAAGAAAGGAAAAAAAGAAAAAAGAAAAAGGCAAACTGTGACAAGTTAGATCTTTTGGCTCACTCCTTGACTGCTCTCTGACATCTCTAGATTACTGAACAGTTAGCATTATGCTGCTTGAAGCATTGTCTGATTTAGAGATCAGACAATGAGATGATGGGGTGGCGGGAGGAAGAAGGGAGGTGGTTCTGTTCTTAACAATGCAAAGATAATTCAAAGAAAACAGAATAAGAAATACTGGAGTGGGAATCAGGCAACCTTAACTGCAGTTCCAACTCTGCCATTAAAAGCAAATCCCAGTCTCCCCTCTGGAGACAGTCATTTGTATTGGAATTGGTGACCTCAAAGATATTTTATATATATATATATAACATTTTATATCATTCTATAATATGGTTCCCAAAAGCTTAAAATTAAATGCAAAGAATTGGTTAGAATATCATGTTCATGAGGCCAAACCAGTGAGTTTAGATCCTGCATGCTTCCCTTGTTCTATGATCACTGTCCTCTTAACCCTTGCCCGTAATCTCACAGATAGGAATCACTGATCACAGTGAGGCCTGAATCAATGTGTTTGGGATACATTCTCAAAAGTGGTATAAAAATGCCACCTGAATATTAGGAAAACAAGGCATAAGCTGCTGAAAACTGTAAGGTCAGTTTGTTGGAAGGCAATTAAAAAGATTTCAAAGGAGGCAAGACCCTCTTAAGAGGCTATGTTTGTGGCTGGGGCTGGGGTTGTGGCCCAGTGATAGAGTTTCTCACCTAGCATGCATGGGGCACTGGGTTCGATCCTCAGCACCACATAAAAATAAAGATATTGTGTCCACCTAAAAATCAAAAATAATTTTTTTTTTAAGAAGAGGCTATGTTTGGGGCTGGGGCTCAGTGGCAGAGTGTCTACTTAGCATGTGGGAGGCACTGGGTTACATCATTACCACCACATTAAAATAAACAAGTAAAATAAAAGCATGCTGTCCAGCTACAACTAAGAAAAAAATTTTTTAAATAGAGGCTATGTTTGAAGGGAAAAAGCAAGTGGCAAGGTAAATTAGTTAGTAATCTATAGCAGTACATGCCACTGAGGTTTGCACACAAATGTGGAATATTCCAAGAAAACAAATGGAAGCCTGATAGTGGTAGCTGTTCCATCAATTTACCTCTCCTGAGAGGGGATCCCTCCATTTTCCACTGTGCCCTGTGGCTACTATGTATTGAAAGGTCCTGGTTGACAGCAATATTCTCTCCTTCATTTTACACTATTGAAAGTCCTTCCATATCCATAATCTCATACATCCTTACAATATTCTTGAAAGGCAAGAGTTACTATATTCATCCCATCTCATAAATGCACCAAAGACTCAAATATCAAAGCTGGTCAGATGTGGGGCCAGAATTTGAATCTAGAGTTTCATTCCAAGTTGATCACTCTCTCTGCAAGACCACATTCATCTACCTTAGAGGCAAAGTCTCACTAAAATCTCCAATGATCCCCTAACCTACTCTATGAAAACTTTAGGAACATCAGGGATTTATCTTTCAAAAGCATTTACAAGTCCCCTTTATATCCCTCTGCTATCTGTTTGGATTATTATTTATTCTAATCTAAATATCTACATCGCTGGGCTGGGGAGGTGGCTCTAGAAGTAAGGAGCTCGCCTGGCAGGTGCGGGGTGCTGGGTTCGATCCTCAGCACCACATAAAAGTAAAATAAAGATGTTGTGTCCACCGAAAACTAAAAAATATATATTAAAAAATTATCTCTTAAAAAAAACTACATTGCTGCCCACCTTTCGTTTGCGAAAATTCTTGTGAACTGTACACAGTTCAGGATACTTTCTTAAATATTTAAACATTTATTTTTTTTAGTTTTGGTTGGACATAATACCTTTATTTAATTATTTTTATGTGGTGCTGAGGATCGAACCCAGGCCTTGCATGTGCTAGGCAAGTGCTCTACCGATGAGCCACAACCTCAGCCAGGATAATTTCTTTGACTAAATAAATCACAACTGGACTCTCAGCTACCTCAGAGGTCTGCTAGTGGATTGGATTTCCTTATTTCTTTAACCTTCTACCAAATAATTCAATCCCAGTCCAAACTACTTGAAACATGTATTTTTTTTTTTATATCCCACACCAAACCCAGAATATAGAGCTGATTTCAGGAAACAATGTTTTCTATTTACTATAGTGTGTGTGTGTGTGTGTGTGTGTATTCATAAGTAGTATATTATATCAAAATAATATAAAATTGGGTATGAGAGACAAAATCAGGCTCACCAAGTGTCCTGATTTTTGCTAGAAGATTACTAGTCAATTTTCTTGGTAATTACAACTGGAAAATTCTAGTATCCCCTAGAGAATTTTCTATATTTAATTATCTTATGAAGTGTTAAGTATTAATCCCAGATATTCTGGGAGCTGAGGCAAGAGGATTATAGATTTATTAGAGTAACCTGGGAAACATAGCAAGACTCTGTCTCAAAATAAAAATTTAAAAAACGATTGGGGATGGAGCTCAGTACTTGCCTAGCATGCTGGATTCAATCCCCAGTAGTACAAATAAAATAAATATGTATACAATAAATTTATGTACATGGTCACTATGTCTTGAAAGATTTGAAAGGGTCAAGACAAATATGAATATTTTTCTACTGAGGTTAACCAAAGGTAACTGGATGTACAGAAAGTAAAACCACTACTAAGGGTAGACTTTGGTATGTCAATCTCTGGGCAATTGAATTCACTCCATTTGCTTCATGATTACATCTACTGTTTTTGATCAAATAGTTGTATATTTTTCTTCTTTAGTTTTGCAAGCTATAATCTCATCACTCATTTGGAAATCTAGAAAGCTTTCTATTTTTATTCTCAATAAAAATTCCCCTTGTTCTCAAAAAGAAAAAGGTTAAGTATTCTTTACAGGCAGATTTAAAGGCACGTGGCTTCCACCCTTAATATAAAATGTAACATACAAGCACTTCCCATATAGCACATCCTACTTCACATTTAAGACCTCATCAACAAGAAGTATGTATATTTCCCTCATCCATAAAGTTTGAAAGGAGAATTTTAGGGGCTCATGGTGTAGCTCAGTGTGGAGTTCATGCTTTCATGCAGGAGGCCCTAGGTTCAATCCTCAGTGTAATTTTTTTCTTTTCAAAACAGAAATATGAAACTTCTGTGTAGGTTTAAGTGTGTCACCTCTGCCTTAATATTTTAAAATTTCAAATCTTTTTGAAATAGTACAATTACCACAAATAAAAAAATAATACAATTACCACAGGTACTGGGAAACATTCTATAGTTTTTCATGCTAAGTTGTACTTTCCTGTTTTTAATGAATTTACAAGAATTAAGCTTAGAGTAAACAAATCTAATATTATTGCATATTAATCAGTTTAAAAAGCAACTTAAATTTCTTTCATAATCTGCTGCGGAGTCAAAACTTCTGTCAAGTAACTTAACATTCCCTACTCCTTACACTATACATTTATGCTTGGTAAGTTTGTACTATTTTTTTTTTTTTGATAGTGCTGGGGATTGAACCCAGGGCCTTGTGCATGCAAGGCAAGCACTCTACCACATGAGCTATATCCAGAGGCCCCTAATTGTAAATACTCATTTTTTTAAGATGTAGATGGACACAATCCCTTTATTTTATTTATTTTTATGTGGTGCCAGGGATCGAACCCAGTAACTCACGCATGCTGTATCACCGAGTCACAACCCCAGCCCCTTCTAATTTTAATATTATACTTCATAGGTAGGCTTGCAGGGTGAATGCAACGTCATTCAAGAATAACTTTCTACTTGGCCACATGCCAAACACTGGGCAAAACAAGGGCTCCCAAACCTGATGTATGCCATAAATTACTTATAGAATCAGACATAGCACTCACCAACGTGACAAGAGGTGAAATGTGAAATACGATCTTCAAAAGGAAGAATAAGAAAGTGAAGAAGAAAAAAAGATTTGCCCCGAAACACCCAATTCACTAACATAGATTTGCACTTTATTTTAATTTTGCATCCTGAGAATAAAACTTTATCTGACAAGTGAACAACGACAGAAGCAGCAGTGAAAGTTTCAGAGAGGCAGGTATCCTTCATTTTGGCACAGCTGTATATAGGTTGAGTTCTTCCAGGGGGATCATTCCTGGACTCAAGGGAGAAAAATGAATTCATTCCACAGGCTATGGAACACTACAAGATGCATGAAAGTTCTTTGTTTGGATAGACATATCCACTATTATTCTCTTCTGGTAATGCTGTCCCAACAGGAATCCACTGTCAAAAGTAGAAATTGTAGCCTTTTCAAGCAGATGTTTTGATCAATATCCACTTTCTAGCTATTTGGATGTCCTGTTCTCACCACCAAGACTCATTTTGTACATTGTTAGTCCAAGAATGGCAAACTAGCTTGTAGATTATATAATTTCAAACATTTATAACTTTTTCCAAAGTCCAAGCATTAAAACAATTTTACACTATTTGCTTACTAGAACAAACAGAAAGTTAAGAAAATAAGCCAAGATAAAAGCTTAAATGAAATAAGCAGGAATAAAAGCAACATTTGAGAAATTATTGCCTTGATTCATCACACCAAATTTATACAGAACTACGTTAAGACTCAGAAATTGATATTTAGTCCAATGCTAGAATGTGACAGTATAACACTTTCCACATTTGCAATCCAATGTGTGTATATGAGTTACATGTACACACCTCAATGAATTAGCTCAATTACATCATCCTGAACAGAAAAAAAGCTGAAAGCAAATTCCAACCTGAAGTTATACAGCCCAATCTAGCCATCACACAGACACACACACACACACACTCTTTCTCTCTCTCTCTCACTCTCTCTCTAGCCTCCCCACCCCCCAGCATTTAATTATTTAGGGACCAGGTAAGCAATCTGTGGAAAGGGTCAAATAACCTTAGTTCCTTTATAAAAGTGGCTCCCAACATTTTTGCCATATACATCTCTTCATGATTCCTTCTTTATGTTTTCAAGTATATAATAATAATTTTTTTGTCATTTTTTTGTATTAATCAAAAGCACATAATCATTCACAGCTTCTAATCAGTGTTAACAGAAGAATTGAAAGAATATAAGCAAAATGCATGGAAATTCCATGTATTAGTTGGCTGTGTAGCAGGAATATTGTGGGTCAAAGTATGGTTTCTAGTATCTTTTTTGAAATAATGCAAAAGGATTAAGGATAACCCCACTGCTAATTTCATCTACCCCAAGTTGGGAACCACTGGTTTACATCCCCTACTTTTCCTCCCTAAATCAAGTATTAACATAATATAATAATTCATGTTTAACAAACAAGGAATCAATAACAAAATTTACTACTGATATATAGATAAACTGCAACACTCGTTCTGTGAAAGAAAAACATTACGACATGGATTTCAAGGAATCTCTTTAGAAATTACACAATTATGATATCCAGTATATATTTCTATCATCTTCAAATCACACAAATATGTGAAAAAATCCTCAATTCCCCTGTGAGGTAGGTCCAGATTATTGTCCCCACTTCAGCAATGAGGACATGAGGTACAGAGGAATTAAGCAGCAGAGCTAAGAATTAAACTAGAAGTGACTTGGGTTTGAATTCCACACCATTTCCCTCTCTACCAAATTTTATCAATTTGTTCCAAAAGATCTTTTTGAAAGTGTGGAACTTGATAAGACACTGAAGCAAATGTTGGATAGGATGTGAAACTCTTCACATTAAAACTTCAGAGTGGATCCTTCCATATCTCCATTGTTGTCACCGCTATAATTCTTGCCTGGATACCAACTCAATTGTGAGATTCCACATAGGCAAAGCTCAGAGACCTCAGACCTCAGTTCCTAGGGAATCTACATTCACTGTTATCATCAAGGTGGACTAAGGTCTAGCAGGCATCAGGTTCTTTGAGCCTATATGATATTAACACACATCAACTAGCCAGCCAGCAAGCAAACTGAACTTTTACTGTGTGCAAGGCACTGTGAGAGTTTCCACAAAGGGTAGTAGGTCTGAAAATAATCATTCTGAGATTCTGTACAATAAAACTTTCCTGTGGATTTCTAGAATCTCAGAATGTTAGATAATCTCTAATTTTCTGTCCTGTTCTAGGTTCAACCCCATAATTTTACAAACAAAAACACTGACATGCTATTTAAGTTAACTGCCTAGAGTCCACAATATTAGATCATTACTTCATATAGTATGAGTTTGACAAAGTCCACAGAAAATGGAACGTATTCTCAGGTTGCCATCATCAAAATAAAAAGGCTGGCTCAGAATCAGGTAAGGGAAATTAGGGAAAGTAAGGGATATATCTATAAATATATACCTATATCTATTTATAAATATATTTATATATTTATATATTTATAATTTTATAAATAGATATAGATTTATCTTTATAGATGTATCCCTTTTTAGCCCACATAATACATGAACAGGTATTAGTAAACTATTCATTTTACTGAAAATTCTAATAGTTTACCACTTAAGGAACTTGAATAACTTGAAAATTGTTTTGCAGAATAGATTTTGCTTTAAAAGCAGACTTTGCTTTTAAAAGCAGATTTTGCTTTAAAAGGAATAGGAGGACCCAATTTTAAAGAATTTGAGCACTTATAATCAAATTAGCAAAAGTTATTTCCACTATGTGAAACTTCTCCCATTAGTCAAATGAATAAAATTTATATATCTTGCTAGACCAATATAGTAAATTCTAATGAAATATTGTTTGGGGTTTTATGTTCAAGTAGTAAGGTTTAATTTTTTTAAAGAGGTGGCTTATCTGTAAACAAAATTATAATGCTAGTGATTTTTTAAAGCTCTCATACATTTGAAAAACCCTATTCGTTCAAAGGCTTACAAATGTTACTGAACTTTACTTAAATTATCAAAAACCACAAATAAATTTCATTAAAATGGCAGAGTGAATAAAAATCAACATGATTTAATTTCTCAGACATTAGTGTTTACAAGTCATAAGAGTATGGACATTAAATACTTAAGTGGGCTTTGGTAGGATTTCAGTCAATAACCACTGTCCTTCCAAAACCATGTTAAATTACATGTTTACTAGCATTAAAATTATACAATTTTTTAAGTGACTGATAGTCCTCTTCTGTAATATTTTGTCATTAATATATCACATGATTGGAGGAAAACAAGGAAACAGAATGTATAATAAATAAGAGATACTCAATATGTCATACCTAGTCGAAAGAACAATTTCTAATCTAATGATCTACTAATTCATTCACTCTGCTTCCTTCCACATTATCTTTGTTCAGAAAAAGACAAGGCACTTTTCCACTTTTAAAATTTGACTACTCGCTCCTAAATTAACATGGGGACAAGAAGGGAACAAAGCGAAGAGGACATGTCTGTAATGGGGTTAATAAATCTGTAAATAATACTTGTCTATATTTTTATCAATACTACATATGCTCTTGGCCTTTTGGATGAGCTTTAAAATTATCAATTCAATCAATTTGTTAGGACAGAATCTTTGACCAAACAAGAAGCATTGGAAAATGAATTTCAAAGAACTATTTTAACTTGTAACTTTAACACCTACTGAGATTTATATACTTTGGCAAATACATGTCATTTTTCTCTGAAAACCACCATGGAAGATTTCATAAAGGAATATTATACAACAAATTCAAAATTACTTTTTTCAATTGAAAAACAACTTTCACAAAACATAACCCAATGGAAAAATACAAGTATGCTCTATCCTGAGGATAAAAATAAAAGCCTCAGTGGGGGAGGAATATTAATTCTCTTGTCATTTCAGTATTCACTGATGTCAATCTCATTAAAAAAGAAAACAACTCCCCCCCAACACTCCAAAATACCCAATTGCTAATCAGCCTCCTAAAAGGGAAAACAGTTTGAAAAAGCCATCACAGGAGAAAGTGATAGGAAAAACAAAAAAAAGAAAATTGGGTGTTTTCTGGGTAGTTTAAGAAATTAAGATTAATTAACCAGAATAATGAAAACTAAAAAAAAAGTGATTCGTTAAAATTAAAATTACACATTCTGTCAAATTGTTTTTATGACAAATACAATTGTGTCTTGAATTCTATGTTCTGTTACCTCCAGACACACTATTCTTAATATCTGTTTCATGGAAACAATTCACCACTTCCCGTTCTTTAAACAAAACCAAGTATGATTTATACATGGCAGAAAAAGTTACTATGATAACCATATGTTCAAATTCTAAGGTTACAGGAAAAATGAGATTATAAGGGTTGACATTTAAAAACAATTATTCTATCAGTGATAATTAGAAATTCTATATTATGCTGGCAATCAGTTTTGGTATTAAAATGTCACAGTCTGAAGCATAATTTTAATGACATTAGCTGGAACGTAAACCACAAATACAATTTTTCCCTGATCTTAACTAGAAAACAAGACAGTGGGTATGTATTTTCAGAGGTTTCCACCATTTCTATAAAAATACACCTTCAATTTTGCAGCAGGCAGACACATGACATTTGCAGGCATACATAATATATTAAAAGAGAACCGGGGTGGGTGGTTGGGTGGCATGGGGACAATGGAGCTCCACAGAGTCTTTGTGCAAACAATCATAATCTCCTATCACATAGTGTCTCTTTTTTTCTTTTTCTAATGGTCAAGGACTGTGAACTTCAAATTAGGAATGAATTTTAAAAGTAGCCTAAAAAGGTTTCACCTTATGTGAAGAAATGATTGTTCTCTTCACTGGGATGAATGCTTGCCTAAAAAAGCTTACTAAAAGCAGCAAGATTGTAAGGTGACAAATAGAATATTATTCAATCCCAGACACTTTAAATTTATCTTTAGCACTATGAATTACAAATACTGCCTAGACACAGGCAAACATCTGTCTTTTACATGAAGTGATACAAAGCTTTTGTTACACTAAAATTCAAAATTAGTAGAAGAGGAGTGGTATTGTCATTTTAATTGTGAAGAGAAATAGCTCACATACCAATCTAAAGGCTGGCTACTTGGGTGGTAAATGTACCAACTAAAATACTTTTGTCTAAACACCTTTCTTCATTAATAATTTCCAAATGTTTAAAAAAATCCTCAAAAAGAGGATTAAAAGTATTTTATTAACCATGATTCAGCCACTCCATATTATCTTGGTGTAACTTAAGTAGCTCTGTTTCCCAAAACAGACTATCTGAACTCCAGATAAAGGTTAGCAGTAGGTTTCATGGGACTCTAGATTACCTCCCAAGACAAGTAAAATCTCAAGATACTTCTTAAAAGTCAAAATAGTGTGTATTTTCAAAGGAAAGGCAATATTCAAAGGGAAAGAAATGAAGGACAGTGAGGCTGTGAAATTGCCAGATGTCAAATAAATTCTTTTGGGGTGGGGGTGGAGTTCAAAAAAGGAAATACTGAATTAAATGGCAAAAAATAAGGTTCTTGGGTTTGGATGCAATGCACAAAGATTATCTGAGATAATGACTTCAATTTTAATCCACTTGTTACATTGGGCAACCCTGCCCTACACCTGAAATTTTAACATGTTTATTATGGCTTTGCCATAAAACAGCATGTTAACGTCTCTACATTCAAAAGGATGCTTGCAAACGACATTCATATTAAAATCTATGCGAATTGTTGGCAATACAATAAGAGTAATATTACATTCTGTAAACCATGGCATAACCTATTTTACATTATGCAAAGAGACAATATTTACAAGTGTTTAGGAGTTTAAATATTTTATCCACTAACATAAGTGATACTTTAGCAAAGTGCAGGACAAACCATTGCTATTAATTGCATGTCCTTTAAAAGCAGAGTAAAACCATTTCTAAAAGCTACCAAAAGCTTATTTAAGTGTGTCCAGTAAGGGATTACAGAGCATTAAGTAGCCTAAAAAATGATGCATATTTAGAAACAGTGAGTATGAAAATTATAAGGCAGCATGCTCAAAACAAGGTTTTTGTTTTTTGAACACCAGCACTGATGTTTTACTTTTAGTGGCAACTGTGTGTGTGTGTGTGTGTGTGTGTGTGTGTGTACACACATATGTATATGTGTATTTATTTAAAAACTGAGAGTGCAAAACACAAGCCTCATTTTACAACAAAAAAATGTGCAAATTATCTTCTTAAACCAACAAAAATAAAAGAGTGAGGAGAATACTCTACCATTATAAAGAATAACTTGAACACAGCGAAGGAGACCATCTTCATTCCATAATCATCTACAAGGCACTAAGGGTAGGAAATGACAGGAAACACAGAAGTGACTGAATAAAACTCCTCAGTCAGGTCGGAATATGGGATATTTTGGTAAGAATTCTATTAGTATAACCTGCAAAATAAAAACAAACAAGAATATGTTGACAAAATGTTTTTAAATTAATATAACTTATATATAACCCAGAAAAGCTTATACTCATTGTCACATGACTATCTTTTGATCCTATATTATAAAAAGTAAAGGAAATACATAAAACAGTTATGTAAATAACTTACCATAAGTTGTGATTAGATTGGGGATTCAAAAATTAAACAGGTAAACAAAATTACTTCCCGTAGCTAACAGTTGTTATTACCTGATTTACAATAACTATTCGTTTGAGGGAAGAGAAGCTAACCCTATTACTTATCATATGCTCCCTTCACCTGTATTTTAAAAATCAAAGTAGAAAGAATTAAAACTGTTGTATAGATTACAAAATAATTATTATGCTTGTGTATTTTTCCATCAAAGCATTAGTTGAGGATTACTATCTTTTGCAAGTTGTATGTGAAAAATATGAGCATCCAAATGGATTGACTAAAATAGTTTATTCACAGGAAGGTTCAAAATAATAAAAACAAGATTTTTGTGTGTGTGTTTATTTTTTTTAGTTTTAGGTGGACACGATATCTTTGTTTTATTTTTACATGGTGCTGAGAATCGAACCCAGGGCCTCACACATGTGAGCGCGCTACCACTTGAGCCACATCCCCAGCCCAAAACAAGATATTGTTGAAGGTTATATCAATAATAGATTTTAGTTTTGTGGTCATTGTCACATTTTTCTAAAAACTATTCAAAGTGAAGAGATACTATAATAATCCTTGTTTATGAGATGCAAATTGATGTTTATTATTAAATATATATTGTATGTCAGAAGCCTGAAGCTAGGATAAATTTAATATTTTTAATGTTAATAATGCTATATGTGATTTTATGTTACGACCAAGGTTGTATAGCTTTCAGTAAAAAAATAAAAAAAAACTGAACCTGCATTAAAACCTTTTTTCACTAAAAGTTAAATGTCAGTCAAGAAAAAAACAAATACTCCATTGTGTATAAATGCCACATTTATACACATTTATACACAAAAAATGCACTAAAAAATGACAAAATCATGGAATTTGCAGGGAAATGGATGGCACTAGAGCAGATTATGCTAAGTGAAGCTAGCCAATCCCTTAAAAACAAATGCCAAATGTCTTCTTTGATATAAGGAGAGCAACTAAGAACAGAGCAGGGAGGAAGAGCATGAGAAGATTACCATTAAACAAGGATGAGAGGTGAGAGGGAAAGGGAGAAAGAAGGGAAACTGCATGGAAATGGAAGGAGACTCTCACTCACTGTTATACAAAATTACATATAAGAGGAAGTGAGGGGAAAGGAAAAAAAAACAAGAGAGGGCTGGGGATGTGGCTCAAGCAGTAGCACGCTAGCCTGGCATGCACGGGTTCGATCCTCAGCACCACATACAAACAAAGATGTTGTGTCCGCCGAAAACTAAAAAATAAGTATTAAAAAATTCTCTCTCTCTCTCTCTTAAAAAAAAAACGAGAGAGAGAGAGAGAGAGAGAGAGAGATATGAATTACAGTAGATGGGGTGGAGTGGAGTGGAGTGGAGGGGAGGCGGGATAGTAGAGGATAGGAAAGGCAGCAGAATACACCAGACACTAGTATGGCAGTATGTAAAAATGTGGATGTGTAACCGATGTGATTCTGCAATCTGTATACAGGGGGAAATGGGAGTTCATAATCCACTTGAATCAAATGTATGAAATATGATATGTCAAGAGCTTTGTAATGTTTTGAACAACTAATAATAATAATAATAAAAGAAAAAACAAGCCAAAGTATGAATTCAGATTTCAGAAGTTAATTTCTATTTTACGTAAGTTTTGATAAGATTACATTTAGAAATATTTGTCCAGTAGAAGCTGTTCTTACCACCATATGCTGCGGTTTGTGACTGTGTTAAAAGAAGATAAGATTGTACAATATTTTTAGATGAGCACACTAGTTGAGACTTAACATCTAAAAAATCGTAAACTTTCAAGATATTTTAGGTTGGCTACAAAGCTAAAGAAGATGTAAGCAATCTGAGGAGAAAAAAATAGCTGACAGATGATAAATATAATAAAATGTTACATTTAGGATGAAATCAAAAAAATTTAAGTAAAACAACTTCATACTTACATACTCCATCATATTGCTAGTTTCGCATTTCCTTTTAGTCAACTTCCAGTGCAAAGCAAGCTAAGAAAGTACAGTTTTGTTAAGAATTTTATATTAACTTAAACTAATTACAATTACAACCTATACATCTGAGTTAAGTCACAGCAAATAATATAGGCATAAGATACAAAACAGCACTTAAAATACCTTATAAAACGATCTATTAAATAGTTGAATATTAGTTCTCTAATCCTTTCATGGCTTGAAAAAATCCCCATTTAGTACTTTTTTCAATAAATAAATGAGGCACCCATTTGCTTAGCATTTCTTACCTTGTGATATAATCTGTTATTTTCCCACTCTAATAACTTCTGAATTGATCTTCTGGTCTGAGGAAAAGGATAGAGACTTTGTTACAAGATGAACTGCAGAACTTTGTTTACTCTGTGTATCTATAGTTTCCTGTTTACTTGTAAATTCCCATTTATTTCTCCTCTTGGTTTTCTATTATAAATCAGAAAAAAATGCAATGTGACTGATAGCAACCACCAAGTTAAAGTTAAGTAAAAGAAGAGGCAAACAAATGGAAAACGTTCTACTTTTAAAATAATTAAACAAAATAAATTTAAATAAATGTTATGTTACATTATGAAAGGGATGTTGCAAATATAATAAACTCAGAGGGCTCATTTACAGTTGGTTAAATCAGCAACAATGCCAGCTGGAATATATCTTGGGGTCATTACACTTGACAGAATCCAGACAAAATCAGGATACAAAATAAAGAAATTGAATTAGTAATTAAGAATCTTTCCACAAAGAAAAAAAAAAAAAACAGGACCAGATGGCTTCAATGATAAATCTACCAAACATTTTAAAAACATCAATCCTTCACATATTTTCAAAAAAATAGAGGGAACACTTCCCAACTCATCATCTGAGGATTGATACCAAAGCTAGACAAAGACATCACAAATGCATAAAGAAAACAAAAGATGAGTATCCTTCAATAATATAAACACAAAATTCTCAACAATACTAGTTTGAATCATGTGTAAATGGAATCCATCCAAGGAATACAAAAAAATGAACTAACATAATATATTACATGAACAAAAGACAAAAAACATGTGATTGTCTTAGTAGATTTAGAAGACGCACAGACAAAATCCAACATCCATTAATTTAAAAAACCCTGGAGCCTGATGCAGTGATAGTTGTCTGTATTCCCAACAACTGGGGAGGCTTAAGCACGAGGATCACAAATTTGAGGTCAGCCTCAGCAACTTAGTGAGGTCTTAAGCAACCTTGTCTCAAAATAAAAAATGAAAAAAAGTCTGGGTGTATAGCTCTGAGGTTAAGTGTCCCTGGGTCCAAACCCAAGTACAAACAAACAAACAGACAGGGCTGAGGATGTGGCTAGGTGGTTAATCACCTCTAGGTTCAATTCCTAATATCAAAAACAAAAACCCTGAAATATTAGGACTAGAGGGGAACTTCCTTGGCCTCATAAAGAACAGCTATGGAAAACCTACAGCTACCATCATACTTTATGGAGACAAACTAAATGTTTTCCCCCTAAGACTGGGAACAAGACAAGGTCGTTTTCTCCCACCACTTTTTTTTCAACACCATATTGAAAGTTGTAGCCAGAATAATAAACAAAAGGTATCCGGATTGGAAAAGAAAAAACTGTCTTCATTCACAGACAAATGATTCTGTTGTAGAAAACCCCAAGGAAACCACTAAAACACTACTAGAACTATAAGTGATTTAGCAAGTTTGCAGAATAAAAGACTGTGGTAAGTAGAATTCTGGCTTCTATGATCTTGAACCCCTAGCATTTCACCTGTGAATATTGTTACATTACAGGGCTGGGGATGTGGCTCAAGCGGTAGCGCGCTCGCCTGGCATGCATGTGGCCCGGGTTCGATCCTCAGCACCACATACAAACAAAGATGTTGTGTCCGCTGAGAACTAAAATATCAATATTAAAAATTCTCTCTCTAAAAAAAGAACTAGAAAAACAGCAAGCTAAGCCCAACACTTTTTATTATCATAATTATTAACATTGTACAAATTAATGGGTTTCACTCTGGCATTTCCACACATACATATATCAAGCTTTGATTTTTGTCTCCCTTCCCTTCTCCTATCCTCTTCTACCACCTCCCATTCCGTGTCCCCCAACCTCTCCTAATCTCTTATAGCCTCACTTCTACTTTCAGGTCATTTTTTTTTCCTTTTAGTTTACACATGAGAAAAAATGTGTGATACTTGTCTTTCTGTGTCTGGTGTATTTTGCATAAAATGATGTCTTCCAGTTCCATCATTTTCCTGCAAATGACATTTTATCTTATGGATGAATAATACTACATTGTGTATATATGCAATATTTTCTTTATCCATTCATATGATGGGCCCCTAGGATAAATCCATATCATGGATATTGTGAATAACACCTCAATAAGCAGGGATCTCTTTTGTATGCTGATATCATTTCCTTTGGATATATACCCAGGAGTAGTATAGCTGAATTATATGGTAGTTGTATTTTTCAGATTTGGGGGGGAACCTCCATACTGTTTTCCATAGTGGTTATACCAATTTACATTCCCACCAAGAGCATATAAAGATTTCCTTTTCTTCACATCATCTCCAACATTTTTTTATTGTAGCCATACTGACTGGAGTGAGATGGAACATCAATGTAGGTTTGATCTGCATTTCCCAATCACTTTTTAAATTTATTATCTTGTAGTTCAGTGGTTTTTTATTTTTTTGTGGTGCTGGGAAATTGAGCCCAGAGCACTCTACCAACAGAGCTATATATATTCCCAGCCTCATTTCCCTATCACTAAAGATATTTTTTTTCATATAATTATTGGTCTTTTGTATTTCTTCTTTTAAAAAGTGTCTGTTCAAATCATTTGTCCATCTTTCAAAATATTTTTATTACTGATGGACCTTTATTTATTTATATGTGGTGCTGAGAATCAAACCCAGTGCCTCACACATGCTAGACAAGTGATCTACCACTGAGCCACAACCTCAGCCCCATTTGTCCTTTTTTTTTTTGGTCATGCTGGGGATGGAACCCAGAGCCTTGTGCAAATGAGGAAAGCACTCTACCAATGGGCTATATTCCCAGCCCTGTCCATTTTTAATTGACTTACTTGTTCTTTTGTTGTTCAGTGTTTTTTTTGAGTTCCTTATATATTCTAAATATTAACCTTCCTCAGATATATAGCTGAAAAATATTTTCTCCCATTTGGTAGATTGTCTCTGTTGATTGTTTTCTTTGCTGTGCAGCTTTTAAATTTGTGTAATCCCAATAGCTAACCAATAGAACTGTGCCCTTTCAAGATGAATGGATAAAGAAAATGTGGTATATATAAACAATGGAATTATTCAGCCATAAAGAAAAATGAAATTATGCCATTTGCTTGAATATAAATGGAACTGGAGACTATCAGGCTAAGTGAAACAAACCAATCCCCCCAAACAAAGGCCAATGTTCTCTGTGATATATGGATGCTAACACACAATGTGGGGGTAGGGAAGAATAGAAGTACTTTGGATTAGACAAAGGGGAATGAAGGGAAGGGAGGGGGAATGGGAATGGGAAAGACAGTTGAATGAATTCGACATGAATTTATATATGAATATACGAACAGTGTAATTCCCCATTGTGTATGCATAATGTCAAAATACATTCTACTATAATGTATAAATAAAAAATAAATAAATTTGTATAATCCCATTTATCAATTCTTGCTTTTGTTTTTTGGGCTATTAGACTCCTATCCAGGAAATCACTGTTTGTACCAATATCTTAGTCTTTTCTGTATGTTTTCTTCACATAGTTTCAAATCTTACCTTAACATCTTAGATCTATTTTGGATTGATTTTTGTTCAGGGTGAGAGATAGGGACCTAGTTTCAATCCTCTTCATGTGGATATCCAGGTCAAGGATGTTGGGGGGGGAAGGCACACTCATACATTGCTGGTGACACTGTAAACTGGTGCAACTAATCTGGAAAGCAGTATGGAGATTCCTTAGAAAACTTGGAATGGAACCTCCATTTGACCCAGCTACTCTACTCCATGGTCTATACCCAAAGGACTTAAAATCAGCAAACTGGAGTAATATAGCCACATAATTGTTTACAGTAGCTCAAGTCACAATAGCTAAACTGTAGAACTAACCTAGATGCCCTTCAATAGATGAACAGATTAAGAAAATGTGGTATATATAAACAACAGGATATTACTCAGCATTAAGAGAATAAAATTATGGCATTTGCAGGTAAATTATCCGGATAGAGTTGGAAAATATCATGCTAAGTGAAGTAAACTAATCCCAAAAATACAAAGGCCAAATGTTCTCTCTGATAAGTGGATTCTGGTCCATAAAGGGGGGGGGGACATGGGAAAAATGGAGGAACTGTGATTAGGCAAAAGGGAGGGAAGGAAAGAGAGGGGACATGGGAGCAGGAAAGATGGTGGAATGAGATGGACATCATTACCCTAGGTACACGTATAACTACACATATGGTGTGACTCTACATCGTGTACAACCAGAGAAATGAAGAGCTGTGCTGAAATTGTGTACAATGAAACAATATGCATTCTGCTGTCATATATACCTAATTAAAATAAATAAATTGAAAAAGACACACAAAAACCTTGTATTCTATACTTAAAATCGCTAAGAAGTTAGATCTTATATTAAGCATTCTTACTGAAAAGAAAAATAGTAAAAGTGGTAGGAGGAATCTTTGAGAGGTACTGGATATGTTTGTTGGCCTTGGTACTGGTGATGATTTCCAGGTTATATATTCATTGTCAAATTCATTGAGATACAATAAATATGTACAGGAGAACAGACTGAATACTTATGTCCCTCTCCCTCAAATACAGAGGTGGGCCATTTGGGAGGTGATTAGAGTTGAGTTAGGCAATTCTACTATATGAGGACAAAATAGGCTCCATCTATTACCTAAGAAAGTGGGCCTTCACCATTCACCAGATCTGCTAGTACCTTGTGTATGATGCTGAACTATAGGAAATCATTTCTTTTTGTTTGTAAGCTACTCAGTTTAAGGTATTTTGTTATAGCAGCCTGAACAAATTAAGGTATAAAGTTCTTTACATGTCAATCACACCTAAAAAAGTGGTTTACCTAAAAAAGGAAAATCAATATACTTTAATGATAAACACTGAATGCATTAAAAATAAGGAATATTGGGGCTGGGGATAGAGCTCAGGTGGTAGAGTGCTTGCCTTGCATGTACAAAGCCCTGGATTCAATCCCTAGCAGGACACACACACACACACCAAAAAAAAAAAAAAAAAAAAAAGGAAGGAAGGAACCTTATTCAACATG